ATTGTCCAAAATCTCTTGGTCTGCTGAAGCATCAAGAGTTCCTTTCACTGGAACTAAGGGGCCGAGCCCAACTCCTGAAAAACAACCCCAACCATAATCCCCCTCCACCAAACTTTACACTTGGCACAGTGCAGTCAGACAAGTACCGTTCTCCAGGCAACCACCAAACCCAGACTCGAACATCGGATTGCCAGACGGCGAAGCGTGATTGGTCACTCCAGAGAACACATCTCCACTGTTCTAGAGTCCAGTGGTGGCGCTTTACACCACTGCATTCGACACTTTGCATCGCGCTCGGTGATGTAAGGTTTGGATGCAGCTGCTCAGCCATGGAAACCCATTCCATGAAGCTCTCTACGCTGTTCTTGAGCTAATCTGAAGGCCACATGAAGTTTGGAGGTCTGTAGCGATGGACTCTGCAGAAAGTTGGCAACCTCTGCGCACTATGCGCCTCAGCATCCGCTGACCCCGCTCTGTCATTTTACGTGGCCGACCACTTCGTGGCTGAGTTGCTGTCGTTCCCAATCGCTTCCACGTTGTTATAGTACCACTGACAGTTGACTGTGGAATATTTAGTAGTGAGGAAATTTCTCGACTGGACTTGTTGCACAGGTGGCGTCCTATCACGGTACCACGCTGGAATTCACTGAGCTCCTGAGAGCGACCCGATCTTTCAGAAATGTTTGTAGAAGCAGTCTGCAGGCCTAGGTGCTTGGTTTTATACACCTGTGGACATGGAAGTAATTGGAACACCTGAATTCAATGATTTGGATGGGTGAGTGAATGGTTTTGGCAATATAGTGTGTATCTTAGCTTTGAAGTAGACAGTTCACAGATCACTGCCAACAAAGAAGCAGCAACTTTTTAATTCAACTTGGGCTGAAATTTTATTTGTGTTTTGGTTTGGAAATGTGCATCTTCTACTCTATCAAGATATCATGTCTTCCTCCAGGGATATTTCTGAAATATCTGGAGCTCCAAATCCAAAGTACATTCACAGGAACGCAAGCTTGAATTACAAAAAAATAAGTTTGACTGAAGTAGTGCATGCAGTTAACAGATAGTGTAATGGTTGCTAAGCATTGATTAGTGGAGAAAATGGAGCGCATGTTGAGGAAAGATATGGAGATCATCAGGATTATGATCGGCCTTAAGGTTGAAATGAGCTCAATTTCTCACTGTTCTGCTAGTAAAGTTCCCACCGCATGTCAGAACAGTGGTTTAAATTGTGTCATAATTACGCCCTCCTATTGGCTTGGGCCCCTGGCCATGCACCCATGAAACCCAGGTGATGATCTGGGCCTGGGCTAATCGAGTTTGAGTCTTCTGATCTGCAGAGTCAGTGTGTGGAATAATGTCTTATCATACAGCAGTATAATGCTGGTATTTGTGATGCGTTAACCCTACACTATCAAAAATAACGGTGCCACGAAGGGTTCTTCGGGCAATTCCACAGAAGAACTGACATTATGTGAAGGTTCTTTAAACCTTGGTGCTTTACATCTCTTTTTCAAACATGGTTCTTTAGGGCAGTGATTCTCAATCCAGTCCTCAGTGACCTCCAGATGGGCTGGGGGTCAGGAGTCGCAAACCAAATGTTAAGAAAAGCCATTTTTTCCTTTCAACAAAAATCAAACCACCTTGGAATCTGATTCTGATTCTGGCGAAGCCACAACATTTTAGTCCATTTTACCATCGTGGCTGGAAATATGTCTCAGTATGTGCTAATGTACCAGTAAAGGCTAATAAATGTAATATAAACAAAAACGCAGACTTATTTTGCTCTGCTTTAAGCTTTAGCTCAGCTATAGCTGCTTTTCTTGCATCTCCGGCAGGAAACTTCTCTGCAAAAGTAGAACAGTTTCTTGAAAAATGTCTCTCAACATTTGACTTTTTATGAGGCTGAAGTCGCTTCTCATTCACCAGCTTCTTGTTCAATTTTTCCTGCTCCACCTTAAATGGTGCCTGAGGTGCCAGAAGGTAACTGCTGCACCATTTAAGGTGGAACGGGAAAATTCGAACAAGAAGCTGGTGAATGAGAATATGACTTCAGCTTTGTGTCTTTTTAGTGTTTGACAGTTTCTTGTTGCAGATTAAACGTATCAGGAAACCAGCTGGAGTGATTATAAATGCAAATAAGTCCATTCATCACCAAATTATTGGTGTTCATCTTAAATCTTTCTCCTTGCCTTTTCGTTGCTAGCAAGTTGAAATTGGTGTCTGCACTGCTATGTGAACAGCAGTCTGTGCTGATCTTCAGGGTTAAAGGGTGAATTAGCAGTTCTACATTAACTCCAGCGTTTAAGACCATTTACTGTTAAACTGTGTTGAACGATCAGCAGAGCTTTATTTTACTGCAAAGGAGGATTATTTTGTTTTTACTTAAAACTCTAATTCTGCTGTGGAGCCACAACAAGGCAGTAAAAGAGCCACATGCAGCCTCATGTGGCTGACCCCTGGCTTAAGGCAACCAAAAGTGGTCTTTCTATGGAATCAGTCAAATAACGCTTTGTGGCAAATCTATTTTCAAGAGTGTAGCATTGCTCTACCACTAATTTCAATGTTATATTGTTGCACTGACAGGACAGACAGTGTTTCACAGACTGTTTAATTCTGTAGATGCTTCTTTTTCATTTGAGAATCTGTCTCTGAAGAACTCTTTTACATTCCTGCTCACAGTGGATCTTTGCTGCATCAAGATAGATGTAATCACAGTAAAAGGCAATGTGAATAGGAAATCATTTTACTTCCATACTGTGACATATTTTTGGCATCTTCATTTTTAAGAGTGTGTATTCCCTGGGCCGTATGTTCCCTCTATGAAATTTTCTTGTGCCCTGTGTTTCAGCCCCATGTGTCCTTAAATTCTATGTTCCCTGTATTTTAAGCCCATTTTACCACAAATCTGTTTCCTCAACATAAAAAAAACACCTTACTTCTGAAAAAGGCTTAGAAAGTAGGAAAGAATATCATGTTTTACTATAACATTGTTATACTGACTTTTGGCCATTATGGAATGAGGGTTGTGCCCTTATCTTCCAAATGCAAAGAGGTTTGCAAGTATTTTATTTGGTACTAGTATAGCCAAGTAAAGTAATCACACCCACATAAAAGATTAAATGCTTTTAATTAATTGTACATCAGGTAAATCACCTTGAAGACATAGTTAAAAGCATGACTTTTAAATTAGGTGAAAAGTCTGTATGTTAGTTGCCACCTGAGCACTCATTAGCCAGTACCTGACCACACTAATGCTCCTGTGGCTGAATGCAATCAAATCCTCACAACAATGTTCCAACAGCTAGTGTAACACCTTCCCAGAAGAGAAGAGGCCGTTACTGCAGCAAAGGAGGACGGACTCCCCATTAATACCCTTCATGTCCGAAGAAACGCTGGAGGAGCAGGCGTGATATGAAATGGTTAATTGTAGAGAAACTTACTGACTCAGGTTTCTTTACAGTGGTGCTAATAGGAACCAGGGGTCTACAACACACATTCAGCCATTTTATTTACTATCCCTAAAAACTACTGAAGCTATCTGCAGTCAAACTGGTGATGTATATGGCCAAACCGGTGGCATATATGATTAAACTGGTGGTGTATATTGCCAACTGGAGGTGCATATGATTAAACTGGAGGTGTATATGGCCAATCCGGTGGTGTCTATGGCTAAACCGGTGACGTACACGACCAAACTGGTGGTGTATGTGGTCAAACCAGTGTTGAACATGGCCAAACTGTTGGTGTATAAGGTCAAATTTGTGGTGTATATGGCCAAACTAGTGACGCATATGGCCAAATTGGTGATGCACATGGCCAGACTGGTGGTGTATATGGCCAAACTGATATTGTATATGGCCAAACCGGTGGTGTATATGACCAAACTGGTGGTGTGTATGGCCAAACTGAGAGTGTAATATGGCCAAACTGTTGGTGCATGTGGTCAAACTTGTGGTCTATATGGCCAAACCAGTGAGGTATATGGCCAAACCAGTGGTGTATATTGCCAAACCAGTAGTGCATTTGGCCAAACTACTATTGTATATGGCCAAACCAGTGATGTATATGACCAAACCAGTGGAGTATATGGCCAAACCGGTGGTGTATACGGCCAAACCAGTTGTGTATATTTGCCAAACCAGTGGAGTATATGGCCAAACCGGTGGTGTATATGGCCAAACCAGTGGAGTATATGGCCAAACCAGTGGTGTATATGGCCAAACCGGTGGTGTATATGGACAAACCAGTGGAGTATATGGCCAAACCAGTGGTGTATATGGCCAAACTGATATTGTATATGGCCAAACCGGTGGTGTATATGGACAAACCGGTGGTGCATATGGACAAACCGGTGGTGTATATGGACAAACTGTTGGTGTATATGGCCAAACCGATTGTGTACATGGCCAAACTGGTGGTGTATATGGACAAACCGATAGTGTATATGGCCAAACTGGTGGTGTATATGAAAGTTACTATGCAAATCCACCGGTGAGTTTTTAAGGTGTAATGTTGATAATGGTGAAATAGTTCTAAATCTGGAAAAAGTCAGTCTGGCATCTGTTTTGCCTTTCTAACTCTGTTTCTCTTAAACGTAGAATTTCACACCAAACCACTTGTTAACTATTTAATTACACAAAAAAAGAAATTTCCCTTTAAATGAACTGGAGATGGTGTAGCCCATTGAGGGTCCTGCTTTTTGTTTTGTTTTTTTATGCCTGATTGTTAATTTGTATTAAAAAGGACATTTTTGAACAATTAGAGGGCGATAGCAGGTGTCCAATGACCCCATCTCACCCCACCCTCTGCGCACGTGCCTGCTTGTAATACCTTATATGACTAATAAAACCAACTGGTGCGTCTGACTACACCCACCAGAGGGCGCTGTGTGCTGACACACTCTGTCTCTCTCTCTCTCTCTCTCTCTCTCTCTCTCTCTCCCTCTCCCTCTCTCCCTCCATCAGTGCCCTCTCTCTCCCTCCGCGCGCAGGGCTGCAGTTGTGCGGCTCCACCATGGCGGAAGGCGGTGAAGGCGAGGATGAGATCCAGTTCTTACGCACCGTGAGTACCAAACGCGCGAGTGTGATTATGACAGCGTGCGCGCGCGTCCGCGTGCGTCTTTCCTCTGCAGACCGGCTGCGTGTTCGTCTGTCTTTTAGCGTTTTTCCTCGCTCGTCTCGGCGCGCGCTGTGGATCAGCAGCGCTGATAAGCTGCAGAATTAGAGCAGCGGGGTTTGTCCTTCAGTCTGCAGCTACAGTCCACACACATGCGGCATACCGCACATTTCACTGCTTCACCTGCTCTAGCGCACCCACAGTGAACCTGGCCAAGGCTCTGGAAACGAGCTGCTGAGCTGAATCAGGTGTGTCACAGCAGGGAAGACACGAAAATGTGCACTGCAGTGAGACTGAAGGTGCAGGACTGGCCTAAATAATTCACTACAACTGATTGACTCTGCAGATTTATGCTTTATGGGGTCTACAGTTATTTATAATGCCTTTCAGTGACAGGCTGTAAATGGTCCGCAATGGTCTGTAATAGTCCTCTGCTGAGAGCTACATGCTTTACACTGTTTTCGTTGTGGCAGTGATGGCAGTGATATATGCACATACATGTGTGTTGTGAAGTGAGTGTGTTTGGGAGCCAATGAGCTGAATCAGGTGTGTTTGAGGAAGGAAGGAAAGCACTAAGGCTGACTTCAAGAGCAACATTAGGCAAGCAGTTCATTCATTTGCTGAATAATGTCTTTAAATGATCCATAATGATCTATAATGATGTACAGTGAAGTCCCCTGTTGAGAGGTACATGAATTGTTCTCATTGTTGTAGATGCCAGTGATATATGATATGTGTGTGTTTATTTATATATATATATATATATATATATATATATATATATATATATGTACACACGTACATATAAGTATGTTTATGCTCTGATGAGTTGAATCAGGTGTGTAGGAGCAAGGAAGCGCTGAAACGTGCAGTGCAGGGGGAACTTTGTGTGGGAGACGCACACTGGGCTGGGACGTGAGCTGCATTACATGATGGTGGAGGAACTGTTGAACGTGGGTGGCAGTGCCTTAGCGCGTTTGCCGGAGTTTGATGAGGTTTATTTCAGTAATGAGGTGAAGACGTGGACAGCTGCAGTGATGTGTGTGTGTGAGTGTGTGTTGCATTGCATCAGTCTGGTATATTGAGCTCTGGCGCAGACAACAGCAGCAGCAGCATGCACTGGTATAAATGATGTAATGCTGGATCTACAGCCAGATGCACTTACTCAGACATTTAAAACCATGCTGGGCTGTTTAGTGGCAGGAATATGAGTGAAGGGTTAAAAGTTGTGGTCAATTAGACTGTTTTTAGGTTGGGGGCGGGTGGGGAAGTTCAGATGGAGGCCATCACTGTGGTTGCTTGGGTTATTTCAGTAAAACTGGTTGTATTTATGGTCAAATCAGTTGTGTGTGTGTGTGTAATCAAACTGTTGGTGTATATGGTCAAACTGGTAGTGTGTGTGAATAAACAATTAGTGCATGTGGTCAAACCAGTGGTGTTTATGGCCAAACCGGTGGCGTATATGACCAAACTAGACGTGTTTATGGCCAAATTGATGGCATATGTGATTAAACAATTAGTTCATGTGGTCACACTTTTGGTGTATGTGGGTAAAACTGTGGTGTTTATGGCCACACTGGTGGAATATATGGTCAAACTGTTGGTGTCTGTGACCAAAACGGTGAAGCATATGGCCACACAGTTGAAGTATTTGGTCTTCAATAGGACTATCTGATATATTGTTTGTTAAAATTTGTATTTCAATGCTGGCCTTTGCGATTCTAACATTGCAGAAGGCTGCAGTATGCAAATCAGCCCCTGAAGTGCCTGAGCCCTGACCGGTCAGGTGCTGTTCATGATCCGAAGTTCTGAACCTAACCTGATCAGGTTAAGCATGCAGCATTAGTTGTCATGATGATATATCATATTAAAAAAGTGATCCACTGTCATGAGTCAGACAATGCAGAGTTAGCGTGAACTAAGCTGAAAGTCAGCTGGGCAAACAAGAAATCCTGCTTCGCGAGACAGACTGATCAATCGCTGATCAATCCCAGATGCCCCAGAGGGGTTTCTGTGTGTATTTTGATGAATCGAGGCTTAAGCACACTGGAGGTCACGAACACATTGGTGGTTCTGATCTAGAAATGGCATATCGGTATTTATGGGTGATGGTATCGGTTTGTTATCAGCAGGAAAAAACAGCCCAATAAATGCAAAATTTGGTCTATTCAACAAACCCAAGTAATTTTGGTAAAAATAATGCAGTCTTTATTCAAGGGTTCCTCATTGTATCTGTAATATGTTGCATATGGAAAATAATAACCACAATGTTTAGCAATATAATGACAATATAGTATTTAGCTCATATCAGCCTGAAATAGGCCATTGGCCCCTAAATCAAGGGGTTGAATCTGTGTAGCCCCAGATCTTCTGTACATTCAGCATCGTCATATTACGTTTATTGTTTAGCGGCTTCAATATTGATCAGCCATGTGTAGTTTGGACATGTAGGAGCGAGAAAAGGGGCCAAAATCTCAGCAGCCTTCCCTCCCTCCACTCATTCTGCGCCATTACGCCTGATGCAGAGCTTCAGTGTAAACCAATAGCTCGGTGTTTCCCGGCGCTGCTGCTGTAGCCCCCCTGCAATCCACATTTGACTGTTTTCCTGCTCTAGCGTACCTGATTCAGCTCATTTACAAACCCTTCAGGAGGTGTTTTAGAGCAGGAGAAGCACTAAAATGTGCATGTGGACTGTAGGAGTAGCAATAGGAACCATTGGGAGAGCTTATGGTTTGTGCTTGATGCTATGAGTGCAGAGCGATAGTAGAGAAACAACAACCATTGACAATAATTACCCCTGGCATGTTGTGTTACGGTATATTCTGTCAAGAAAAAGGGAAAACTTACAATCAGGTGCTTTTATCAAAATATTTATGATAAAAATTAAATGTCATTAACAAACAAAAAAGTTCTAATTAATAGCTTTGTTTCAAATGAACATGGAGGGATGGGCCTAATTAAAAAAGCATGTACTGGGATACGTTCCTCTGATGACCATTCCATTACGTGCACACAGTCTGATGAAAACGTTGTGGTTCTGCTCTCTAATACTGTGTGACAGTGTTAATTGATGTGTCTTTAATGTATGAGTGTGTAGCAGGTCTTCGGAGCGCAGGTGTGTGATGTGCATTCTAATAAGGGGGTAGCACTGCACACACGCTGTGTGCGCGCGTGCAGAAGGCCGTTAAAGCCAGATTATCTGTGTGTCATTGTGGTCACTACCACACGTGACCTTTTGCATGTTTAGACCAGGGCTGCCCGAAGTGTGGCCTATGAGGACGTTTGTTTTGGCCTGCCAGAAAGCAGCCCTAACCCCAACTCTTTCACCCAGTGAACTAACATAAACCGGGTTGTGGAGGTATTTTTTTCCTTGCCTTACCTGTAATTTTGTGATAGTCCCTCACACTGAAGCAGACGTGGGAGAAAATGTAGTGATAGTGTGTGATTTGAGTCTTGATCTTTATTTTAAAAAAGTGCAGTTCAGTGAAAGTTGTGGTTGTGGTTTACTGTCATTTTCAATTTGGTGATGAACTTGAGAATTAGTGGCATTTCGCCTGATGAACGAGAGCTGAGACATGTTTGTAATCCCTTTTTTCTGAGACTGACATCATGTTTTTTAGTCTGAAACCCAGCATTGTGGTGTGGGGATCCTAAAATGTACACTGAACCATAGAGGAGGCTTTCTGTACAGGCTTATTATCTGCCTGCAGCACAGACTGCATTTAACCAGCGCAGCTGCGATTCTAGAACAATCTTATCTATGTTAGGTAAGATAAATGTGGTAATAATGTAGGATGTCTCATCACTCAACATGTTCAAAAGTTCAGGTATGTTCAGTGGAACTGCTGCCGTCTTGCTGAGGTTTGAACGAAATAAATCAATAAATTAATAATTTATATTAAATTGACAGTAAATAAGTTTTTACCATCACTAGAGTCAGTTACCATGGTAACTTGATTAACTATCACCAGGCACTGGCCTATATATTATATATATTATTCAAATTTTATATTCTCTTTATTGTTGAAGTACTTTTGAAGTATTTATGCATTTTTTTTATTCAATTTGAACCGTCTTGATTGGCAAAATGGCACAATACCAAAGTAGTGCACTGCATAGTGAATATTGCATAGTTTTGGACATATATCCCAAAATACTGTACTGTATAATGAATAGAGCATCATTTCATAAAACAGTGCACTATATAGTGAATATTGCATAATTTTGTAGCTCCAGTAGCTTTGTTAGCTACAAAAGCCTTGTAGCTCCCGTACAAAATTATAGAAACAAACCTTGGACGCCAGTCATCTGTTTGCTGGTCAACTACATTTGGGATAAGGTTTATGTAACTGAGTAGGTCTTTGGCTCCTGTGGCGCGTGTGTTTATACAATATTCACAGTGTGTTTGTAGATGTAGAGAGACGCTATGGCTGGCAATAAAGCAAAAAACAGCAGTCACAGACAATAAACTGATTTTGTGAGGATTAATACCTCAAATCCAACTGATCTGGTATTGAAATCTTAGATAATACAGAATGGATTTGACTTTGAATGCATAGATGCAGTACAGAAAGCATGTCAACAGTTACAGTTTCAACAGTTAGAGTTTGAAAATAGCCCAAAATAGGGCCCTAAATAGTGAACAGAGTGTAGATTTGGACACAGCTCGTGTGTCATGAGCTGAAGAATGAAACTGCAGCTTCACCCAAGGCCGGTGTGTTCGGCACTGCTGTGGTTTAGAGGAAGAAACGGAACAGTGGCATCAAAAATACTACAACTCCTACAAGAGCCGTCAAACTGTCCACAGGATGTCAGCGAGAGCTGGAGGAAGAGCGAGAGAAAATCCCTCTCGTTTCTCTCTCACCCTTTCCTCTTTCTTTCTTCCTCTCTCCCGTTTCTCTCTCTTTATGTAATTCTCCCTATTAGTATTTCTTGTTTTCGTCTCT